TTTGCTTTTCGAGACAGAGTTTCTCTGTATAGCTTTGCGTCTTTCCTGGAACTCATTCTGTAGATCAGGCTGGCCTCGAACTCACAGAGATCCTCCTGGCTCTGCCTCCCGAGTGCTGGGATTAAAGGCGTGCGCCACCACCGCCCGGCACTTTGCTTTTTATGACACTAGGGATTGAATCCAGGATGTGCACATGCTAGACAAGCATTTCTACCACTGAGATGTATCCCCTGCCTTCTTTTTAATCTTTTTATTCTCATAGGTTCTAAGTTGCCCAGGTTGACCTTGAATTTCCCATCCTCCTGCCTCAGCCTCCTAAGTGGCAGGATTGACAAGCTCGAGCCCCAGGCCCAGCTCTTCAGAATTCTTCATGGTAACAAGCTGAACAAGAAGAGAAGCCAAGTAAACAGACTTGATGCCCACCATTGTGGTTCAGTCGTCCCCAGCGGTCAAAACACTGGCCAGAGTAGAGGTTTCTAAGGGGGTGGCGTAGGTGGAGAAGCCGTGTGCCTGCTCCTGCCCAGCTTTTGACTCTCTGCCCTGGGACACTCTACAGAGATACCATCTAAAGCGCTAAGGATGGCGGGATGCTGAAGGCTGAGGGACAAAGACCACTTCCTCAGCCCCAGAGCCTGATCCCCTCGGGGCTATCACAGAACCTCACCGGGATGCTCCAGAGGCCTTGACTGAGTGGCCCCGCCTTCCTAAACATCCCTGCCTCAGAGCAGAGGCCCTGGAGGGTGCAGGCCTGTGTGGGAATGGGTCGATATGCCCCTCGGCTTCTTTCTCCCTCAGGGCAGAGGCCTGGGCAGAGGCCTCCCTTGAGACTGAGTCCACACCTTCATGCGGTAACGTCCCCACCACTTCATCCTGTTTCCAGAGTCACCCTCCACTACAAGGACTCCCCCATGAGCCTTGGCCTTAGGGCCTGGGCCTGTGACGTGGCCTTAAGGAGGAACAGTGAGCAAGGTGCACAGTGGCCCTAGGTCTCAGCTCCTTCCTCCAGGTCAGCTTTGCTGGCAAAAGTCCTGACTGTAAGTCATATCTCACTCGGGGGAATGTCACACCTGGTCACCCAGTAAGGCATGGCTATCAGGCCTAAAGGCCATGTGTCACTAAACATGGCCAGGTGACACTCAGCCCATGTTCCCAATGGCTGGCAGAGACTGAAGATTTGTGAGGTCCTCATAACAATGTGACTTCACCTTCCACCCCGCTCCTCTCACAGGACTGGCATACCTAACAATACCTGAGTCAGCTCTAACAGAGCCCACATGCTTTGAAGCCAAACCTACCTCTCCATGTCTGCCTGTCAGTGGGGGACAGGGAACGTGACGGCCAGCACCACCCTGAGCCAGTGAGAGGAAGAGAGGAAGTGACAGGCTGCTGCTCCACCACACCCCCTGTGAAGAACAGGCTAGCTCAGGCCCCACACCCATCTGCTGCCAGGAAGGAAGAAGGGAGCCCCTGGATGCAGCTTGAGATCACAGTGGCTTAGAACACCCCCTGGGGAACAGCATGCTGCCCTCGGAGCTCTGGGCAAGGGAGAAACAAGGAGAAAAAAAGCCATCGTTTTGGGGATCTTGTAACCCAATGTCCCCGTGATAAACCGTGCCCTGAAGGTGAAGAAACGTGAGGTGGAGGAGAGTCCCTCCCTCTGAGGCCACTGGACTTTCCCCTTCCTTTCTCCAGTTGGGGGATGGGGTTTTCTCAATGTGTGAGATTCCTAACTCTAGTAATACCTGAGCACCACCACTATCCACTTGGGCCCCTGTTCAGCAACCTTCCCAAGTCTCCCTGGTGGCTTCTGGGGCCTCCAGAATTCATGTTGTCACTCTGTCAAGGTGCCTGTTCTGTGGGTCTACCAGGATTCCGGTCAGGGCGCGTGGGCAGACAGCAAGGTTTGAATCAAGCTGTGGACAGATGCCTTCACAGCAAAGCAGTCTCAAGTGACAGGAAAATAATTTGTAAAAGTGAAATGCCTGCGGAAACTATCTTCAGCTGGAGTGGTCACGAAGCTTCCAGAAGGCAAAGATATTGGCATAAGGGCTCCAGAAACCAACACGAAGCCAGCACTGTCTGAGAAATTGCTATTTGAACTGTAATGTGAGCCACATGTATAATTTCACATTTTTGCCATAGCCACAATCAAGAATAAAAGGAACAGATGAATTTTTTTAACTGTGTGTTTTATTTGGCCCCAACATGATTCAAAATAGTAGTAAAAATTAATTCATTTGTTTTCCTACTGTCATACTCTGGGTGTGTATTTTACACTCACGGCCCATCTTGATTTGGGATAGACAGGCTGCAATATCTTGAGTGTTGTGTGTGGTATATGCCCACCCTGCTGGACAGCAGGCCTCTACGACCTGGCCACTCCTCAGACATACCTGGCCCAGCAGCAGACTCATGTGGGATATGAACTGAGGTACAAACTCCCCAACCTGATCCCAGAATCACTAAACCATACACTCCCTTACAAAGACTCCTGTCTTAACAAGCTCTGCCATTGAAACAAAACACCTTTGACTGGGTAATTTATAAACACAGATGTTTCTTGCCCCCAGTTCTGGAAGCCAGCAAATATCAGACAGAGGTGTGAGTAGACCCTGGTGAGAGTTCCTCTCTGCTTCCCTGGAGGCTCTTTGCTTCCCTGTGCCCACATGGTGTAAGAGGCACATGCAACTGGAGACCTTTATGAGTATACTATTCTAAGACTAGAGGAAAGAACCCTCAGGATGGTCAGTTCCCAAAGTCCCCACTTCTTAGGGAGATACCCACATTCAGACCACAGCAATCTCCAGGTGATCTGATGAGAAAGTTTGAGACATGTAACTCTTCCCTTTCACCTGATGTGTTTATCTAAGTTGTCCTATTATAAACAAAGCAAAAAACCAAAAACAACAACAACAAAAATCCCCACACAGCTCTGTAGTCAGATATTGGGATAAAAACCTGATAGATCAAGAAAGCGGTGGAGAAACAACCAGCTGACCCTCTCTCCATACTTCCCATATCAAAAAGGACCTCAGAAAACTCCAAATCCCTCCCTTCTCTTTCCTGTGCATCTCTCTATCCGTATTCCTGGCTTCTCTATAGCTATTTTCAGTCTGCTAGTTGATGACTCCACCCCCCCCCCCATTCAAGATTAACTTTATTAACAATCTCGGAGTGTCAGCGCAATTAAATATCCTGCAACATTCACCCCCACCAACCAGCCAACCTCTGAATCCTGCTGAGCTCAACTTTAGAATACCTCTTGAGTTCACCCCATTCCTGGCTCCTGCTACCATCTTAGAGTGAGTTGCTACTCTCTCTCTCTCTCTCTCTCTCTCTCTCTCTCTCTCTCTCTCTCTCTGTCTCTCTCTCACTCTGTCTCTCTCTCTCTCTCTGGCTTGGTTGTAGGTTCAGAACATCCTCCCCTCCTACCCCCCACCCCCACCCCCATGCCTCAAAAAATGCTGAGATGCTGTTAGTAATAGGACAGTAACTAAGACAACTTATAAAGGAAGGCATTTAATTGGGGACTTGCCTACAGTTTCAGAGGCTGAGTCTAGGACCATCATGACAGCAGTGTGGAGGCAGACGGGAATGGTAACAGAAAAGCAGCTAAGAACTTACATCCTGATTCGCAGGCAGAGAGAAAAAGCCTGGGCCTGGCATGGGTTTTTGAAACCTCAAAGCCCACCTCTGTGGCACACCTCCTAATCCTTCTCAAACAGTTCCACTAACTGGGGACCAAGCATTCAAACATATGAGCTCATATGGGAGCCAGTCTCATTCAAGATTTCCAACACGGGTGGGAATACCTGCTGTCCTTATAAAAAAGAGGCCACGCAGACATAGACATGGGGACAACATCATGGGAGTGTGATAAGAAAGAGATGGGGGTGAATCAGCAGCGGTCAAGGAATGTCAAAGATGGTCAGCAAGCCACCAGGAACCATGAGAGAGAGAAGCCTTGAGGGCTGACTCAGTCCTGCCATGATCTCAGACTTCTAGGCTCCAGAACCAGAAGATGAAAAATGTATGTTATAAA